GGAAAGGGCTTTTACCAGATGGTACCCAATATTTTATGATAGATGAAAAGCCAGATTGGCTCCAGGCTTGCTAAATCGGTGCTTACTTTGTTAGTAAATGTGACGGAGCCGTAAAATACGGCGTGCTTTCGCAGCCGCCCTTGTAGGAGAGTTCTGTAGGGAGCCGGTGGTACTCCTGGATGAAAGGAGAGTTGTTAATGGGCGGGAGACTTGGATGTTCTAGAAAACTTACTACGACTTCTTACCAAAATTAAACTACAATCAAGGAAAATATCGGGGCTTTTTTTTGTCTCGTGGAATTCATTAGTCTGTAAGGAAGACATATTTGGTGCCCTAGCAACGATGTACTCTTGCAGCTAACTTTTTTGTCAGATGTTTATCATTGAGTGTTGAAAGGAATTTGGTGTTACTTAGTAACTTTGTAACTTACAACGGTAACGGCTTTGGAGATTTTTTTTTTCCTTCTTTTCCAAGTCTGTAGCAGACATTTGTTTAAATTTTAGTAGCGAAGACAAAAAAAGAAAAAAAAAAAAAGTGAAAGTTTCCTGGCAGCAGGCACATAATTAGAAAGAAGGCTGGGAAAAGTAAGACTGGCCTTCCTTATAATGATGTGTTTACAGAAACTTGGAAAGCGGAGATACGCATTGGCTATCAAAGAGAAACCAACGTCTGCTGTTGGAACATTTGGGTCAGCCTTATATTAAGGAATATGGCACTGCAGAGCATACATCTAAAAATAGGAGCGGACACATTCGATGTTTCATTAGGCTTTGAGGTCAAGAAACTGTTTTTCCACAGTATTCTGTGGCTGTATTGAACTGAAACCATGATTCCTGGGACCAAACCTTACATTTCTGAAATTAACTCTGTAAGATGTATTACGTATTGTACGGAAAGTTTTATGTCTACTCACAAGTCTGTGTGTACCGAAATACACTGGAGTTCTGGGGTGGGAAAAGTTATGATGATGTTTTTAAGGAAGCCCAACAGTTTCCAGGCATCCAGAGCTGGTCTGTGATTCACAATGCATACCAGACATAGAAGGATTAAGATATAGAACTGATAACAAGAGGATGGAAAAAAACATATAAAAAGTTAAATGGCTCTCAGCCCATGTCCGTTGATTGTATCTAAACCACTTCGCTATGAAAAAGGGGGCAAATACTTGTGAGACTGTGAAATAATGTTCTGGTACTAATTTTCCTGGCTAGGAGGAAAAACCCTGTGGGAAAAGGTGGGGGCAAAGGGCTAAGAGTGTGAATAAAAGAAACTGAGAAGATTGAGTAGGAAGTATACAGATGTTCTTACAACTTTTGAAACTCTTAGGAATACACAGGTAGGATTTTGTTAGGATTAGGAGTGTCTCATTTAGATAAAAACATTTCTCTCATCTTTGAGATAGTAGAAACTTGATAATCACAAAGTCAGTATTTACCAAGTTACTATACACTGCAATATGACAGAAGTTTTCCTAAAATCAGAATGGTGGATGTATGGTAAAGGTTTGTTAGCAGTTGGCAGATTTACGTCACATAGCTTTTCTTGTAGCTTTATGGGAGCCAAGCAATTTTTTTTTTTTCTTCAGTGAAAAACTCTTCTGAAAATTTAAAGTGTGATTTAAGTAACAATAAGCAGCCTGATGTATCAGGATTCCATTAAAAAACTACTGCTGTAAAATACATGGGTTTATGTTCTCATGCTTAATGAAGACCTAGAAAATTCTCTATTATCTTCAAATTGTTCTTCAATTTCTCTCTCTTTGTGTTTTGTTTTGGTTTGGTTTTTTGGGGCGGGTTTGGGTTTTTTTTGTTGTTGTTGTTAAGAGCAGAACAGTTATATATATTGTCCTGGCCAAGCTCATCTTCCTGGACGCTCATCCACCTAGTATTGTGGGCCTATTATTTTTGACTAGCCTGACTCTACTGCTCTCTCTTTGCAGAGGCTGTGTGATGATTGCAACATATAAAACTTTGTGAAGCATTATTCTACAGTAATTACTGGTTTTGTACAATTACAATTATTGTAAAGTAATTATTGAGATCTACAGTTCCAGGCAACAGAAAGCAACTCACTATTCTCTGCTCTGCAGTGGAGAATTTTTTGAGCTTATATGACAGTTGTGGAGGGCATGATAGTCTAACCACTCCACAAACAGGAGTGGGGGTTGCAGTTTTGTCATCCACTTTGTGGTCTGTATGACTGCAATAGCCATTTCTAATAGCTATGTTAGCTATGTTAGAACAGCGTGCCTCCATTTCTGTAAGGACACAGTGGTAAATCTGATGAGTAATGTTCAGCTGTTTGGTTTCTGGCATTGGAAGGCAAAGGGAGAGGTCTGGCTGGAAGTGACCTGTGGGATGCTGGTCAGCCCGCTTACATGGAGAACTCCTTCTTTCTCTCCTGTACAGAATTTCTTTCTATTGCTCTGCTTCAAAATGATCCATGAGAGACTCACCTTATTTAAATGTACGTGGTTCTCAGCTGGGCAAAATAAACTGATGTGACTTGTAAAATCACGTATTTGATGGGAAATTATTGTATTCTTCAGACAGCAAATTAATTTCTCAACCAGCTCTGCTTAAAGTGGCTGCTTTGTGATTTTACTCGTGCCAACGTTAATGTGCACCCATGTGCCTGGGAGCAGAGTAGAGCATCAGTCAGTGTGATGTCATGTACATAGGTTTTCTCTGTGTGTATAGCATCATTTCCTGTACATTATGAATAGTGGTAGGCACTAAACCTGAAAGACATGAAGATAAAGACCTTTGGCTTTAAAAAGCTGAGTTTCTAAGATGAAAATGTGTAGCTAAGGGAAGTGCATGGGGTGCAGTGAGGAGAAACTGTCTGAAAGATGAAGATAAGCATATGCACTATTAGTTACATAATTTCCATATGAAATGTTTTATGTTATTGTCGTATGTCTTTTCATTTGCTGTTTACTCTCCAAGAAAGCAGTCTTCAAGTATTTGGGGATCTACTGGACCTTTACTGACCTGAGAAGGGTTGGTGGCCCACTAAAAATTTCAGGGTTACATAGAACATATTAATTAACTGCTAGTCCCATATATGTTTGAGAACATAATCATTGGCTGGAAATCTTTCATCCTGGGAATATTCTTTAATCAAAATATGCCTATGGAATTTTGTGTTCATGAATCATCTTCTATCTTGGAAATATTCCTGTTTTCTTAACAGATAGCATTTCAGTGCTAGATTAAGTAATAAAGTTCCCTTTGGAGTGAAGCTCCCACTCAGTAATAGCAACACTGAGCAATGATTTCATAGTGATAATACATCCGTTTGGAGGAACTGGGAAGAATACTACATACAGAGTAATTACTAACCAAGTTATAGTATGCCCGGAAGGCTCATTTTAACCTCTTATTCCACAGAAAGAGAAGAGGGAGAGTCTTTTGTGACCACACGTGTCAGAACTTCTTGGAGCTTTGCAGATCATTTAACATTTTGGTATTCATATAATTGAAAAAAAAATGCTTACTATGCTATCTACTATCATACCTACTATGCTATCTACTATCTTCCACTATCGTAGAAGGAGAACCGATAATGGAAGGCAGTTCTTTTTACATATGTGAAGTATACTTTCTGGATTAGCACACGAATAGAAAATTTAGGCAATATTTTTCCTCCACATTGCTGTTTAGACACTTAACATGGTCCTTATCCCACCTGCTTGAGACTTTCTAGCCCTTGCCAAGGCAGGAAGTTTGTATTTCCTTTATTGAAGCAGAAAGTGATTGTAATTAGTGTATTGTGTATGGCACTCCCCAGCACTTTCCTTTTCCACAAAGGGAAGGAGTTTAAGATAAACAACATTTATTTTTATATAAATAAATAAATACAATGGGCCCTATTTATTACTGGGCCTTTCTCTGCCTGGTGCACCTGCATGAGATGAGCCAAGAAACAACCGAATCTGCTTTCCCTAGTTTGCATAGTGTGCGTATCTCTCCAGGGATGATTTGAGTAAGAAATCTTGGATTAACTTAGATTACCCTAAACCATCCCTTGGTAGCAGTTATTCAGAATTCATTCCAGTCCTTCACAGGACTTTCTTCTGAAACTGGGGAATTTTATTCCTTCACGTCACCAGAAAATATTCCTCTTGAAATTCCTCCTTGAAACATTATCAGTTTCAGAAGATGGTCTATATTGTATATGCTGGCCTAAAACATAGGAGAAGAAAAAAACCCAATTCTTCCAACTCTTCTTTTTGAAGAAACCAATCTTATATCACAGTTCACTGCAGAATATTTCAAAAAGAAAGTGTCAATGTGAGCTTGAGTTCATACTTCATCCTTAAAAATGTGAAAGAGTTATTTAGTTGAACACTTGAGTCTGTGTGTCAGGAACTGCTATACCGCATTGCCAAAGCATCCAAGTTTTGGTAAACGTTCATAAGATGGCACATGTCTCATTTGTCCTTTTGGATTTGTGTAAAGTGAAGGCTTTCTAGAGAAAGATGATTATTTGCAGACATGGTGTGTCAGCCAGCAGAAATGTACAGGAAAAGTTTTTTGGTTTTCATTGGCAACATGGTTACATTTTTTTTTTCCAAGCTAAAATTTAAAAATAGATTAACACACAAAAATGTGTTTCAGTAATGTTAACATTTATACCAACCAACCAACCCCGTCAAATTCACAGTGAAGAGTGATATAGTTGTCTTGTATGCTACTGTACCTGCTAAGGCAACACAGTGCCTGAGGTGTGCATGTAAATAATAGGAAAGCATAGGGAATTAAGTTTACAACATCGGTATTTAACTCCTTGCTTTTACGATCACAGGCGGGATTGTTTTAATCTTTGCATTTTCAGGAAAATGACTGAACTTTGCCCTAAAAGCATTGAATTTAGATGAATCATAGAATCATAGAATCGTTTAGGTTGGAAAAGGCCTTTAAGATCATCCAGTCCAACCATTAACCCAACATTACCAAGTCCACACTAAACCAGTTAAGGGTAGACTAGACTCTTATTCACAGGGGCACTTCAGACATCAAGCAAGCAGAAAACATACAGGAAATACACAGGGAGGCTCTGCTTTTCATACAAGCAATCACTATTAACAATATTACAGAAAATAAAAGTGATGTTGCTACAGTAACCCACAAGGATGATGCTCTCCTCCATTTGCCATGCATGGCCAAGCCTGCAGACCTCATCCTCCACAGCTGTGCTTCTTCAGTTTGAAAAATACTTCTCCAGCACCTTTGTCAAAAGCCCTGTCTCCTGGTCAGTGAGGTCATATTTTCCTTGATTCTCATCCAAAAGTCTTTTTGCACAAGGATTTTCAGGAGCTCACGGGTAAGCAGTTCCATGATGTCCTCCAGCAAGGGTCTGAGAGAGGGACCAAAGACCATTGGCACTGCAGGCTCCTCCAGAGACTCCAGGTGTGGGGAGCCTGTGACACTCTTCGTCCCCATGAAGTGACCTGTGGCCCAGAGGTTGCCACGGGGGTTGACCTTGATCTTGGCCGCCTGGCTGCAATGCTCAGCGAAGTCAAGGTGGACAGCGGGCCCCAGCGCAGCGCCACACAGCAGCAGCAAGAGGCAACGCAGCGCTGCCATAGCTGCCCCGGCGGGACCCCAAAGATTCAGTTGGCTGGATTTAATTTTTAAGTTATGATTTAAAAAGAATTCCTCCCCTATGATGAAGAAGAATCCACTTCAGAAAGCAAGAAATGCATGCAGGCTGTATCTGATGGGCTGGAGAAACTTCATTAGGAGTTCCTGTCTGGGCTTTAATGACTAGAAAAAGAGTATGGAATATTTTGATTTTTTTGTCCTGCTTCTGCTACAGAATCATTTAAAAAGTATGACCCCAGTTCTCCAGCCACACTGAATACAGAAATCTGGTTTAAATCAAGACCTGCATGTGTTACAACAAACCTGCTGCTTTTAGGCCAAGCTTTAAGCTGGGCTTGCTCCTACCCATTTTTGCACCTTACTCGCAACTTGGAAGACTTATACTTAAAAAAAGATCATTATGTTATTTCTGTAGTTGGATTTTGTTGTCTTTTTAAGTTTTTATTCCATGGCTGAATTCATTCTTCTGAATAGGCTGAATCACACTATGAAAGTAGTCACTAGAAACAGAATTGCTTCTTTCAGTTCTGTTTCAAAGACCATGTGCGTATGTACATGCAGATGTGTGTAAAATATATGCTTCTGATTTCAAATAACAGATAATGCAGATTTTTTTAAATGACAGGACATAATGCAAGTCTGTTTCTGTGTGCATCTATGTCTAATGGTATATGAATATGTGTGTGTGTGTCCGTACAGAGCATAAGTAAAAATCTGTATCTGACTCATGGGGATGATTTGTTTAAAGCAGCTATTAAAGAGCAAAACAATTTTAATAGCCAACTTTGGCTAGCAGAGCAGATTCACCAAGGCAACATAGAAAGTTTTGCACAAATGAGAGTTTCCTTGCGCAGAAACCCAGTGGTGCTGTATTTCTTCCAGCCCACCTCACTGTACTTATTTTGGCTCTGAAATATAAAGCTTTTCTTTTCAGTGTTTGAAGGTTTCAGGAGGGCACTCTCCTTTATGGCTGTATTTTGCAGTGACCAAGATCTAGTGAATTTTTCAGTACAAGTGAGGCTTTGAAAACCCCAGAGGTGGTCATAATACTTTGTGGATGGGGCATTTTCATGCACTCTGTACTTGCGTGTAATCTGTGTTTCCTGTCAAAACTTCTAGGGTATTAAATGAAAGCATGAGTTACTTGGTATTGCATTACTTACAGTGAGTCTGTTGCAAGATGATGCCATTTACTTCTGTGCAAATCCGAGGCACCTAAAACCAGACTTACATAAAGAATATTTAAAGGGAGTATTGATATCCACACTGACAGAGGTGTTGGTGCATAGCTTCAAATGTCTTTCAAACATTTACATGAAAAGAGTGCCGGGGCTTCAGAAGTATTCATCAGTATTACTCAACTGACAAGCCACCAGACTGTGTATTTTGCTCTGTAAACTGCAGATTCTTTTCAGTAAGGAGTCAGAGACTTTTGTGTTTTCTTTTCCACAAGAGACACATTTCCTCATCTGTCATAGTCAAGTTCTATTGTTTTTCTGTTTCTAAAGTTCCCTGATAATTTTCATATATCTATGATAATTCTCACATGCCTAGGTTCAATATCCTCACCAAATCACATGTTTATTCTTTCATGTATAACCTTTGTAGCCTATTTTTTCAGGCAGTAAAGAGTTTACCATACTGTTTGGCTGTGTTCTAGGGAGGAAGTCTTGATTACCTATAAATCTCCATAGTTTTTCTATCTTTATAAAAATCTGGAGATCTGTATATAAAGTAAAAAAGAGACACACCTCTTCTATCAGTTTCTGCAGACATACGAAATCCAATTTATAAAGTGAGACTACGGAAGTTCAAACTATATTGAAAGTACATTATGTTGTCTTATGAGTCTCTAGGATGTTACATGTGGTTTCCATTCTTTTATCTTTAGTGGCTTTTGGAGTTTCTGCTAGAGATTTTGAGGTTATTAACTGTTTAACATTTTCTTAAGTTGTTCATCAGGAATGTCTGGAAAACCATTGCTTCCATTTTCTGCTTTGTATTAAAATACCCTCTAAACATGATATTTCTTTTAAAAAAAAAAAAAAGAAAAAAGAATTTAGTATCAGCTGTATTTCAGGAACATTTGTGCTCACGGGACACGGAGCTTTCAGGAAAAAAACCCCCAAGGTTAGAAGCTGCTTTCATATATACACAACTGAATTAGATGAGTGTTGCATGCATATTTGTCCACATAGATGGAGAGAAAAAAAGAGTGCCTATTAACATAAAACCGAAATGATATGTCAACATTTTCTCAAACAAAGAATGAACTTTCAATCATTGACTCTGAGGTTAGTTCTATGGTTGTCTCTGGCCCATAAAACTCAGCATCTCCAAGTGTTTCTGAGATTTTAGAAATAAAAATTATACAACTCACTCTAAAAGTCTAGATTCCTGTGTCCCCATCCCTTCAAAATTTAGTGGTCATGCTAATGGATAGGTATAAAGAGCCAGTTAATGTGAATAATGATATTTTTCTGAATCATATGAAATACCCAGAAAAACGAGCACAAGACTCAGATATCAGGATCTCTTTGCCACATTTCCCTTGTTCTCCCACCAATTCTATGGCTGCTGTCAGCAACCAGCTGCAAGCAACACGTGAGCCTTCTCTGCAGCCCTAGCTGGAACATATTGCAGTAATCTAGTCTTGATGTCAAAGGCGCGTCGTGTGGTACGTGGACCAGTGTGTGGTGGAACCATTCCCAGGATGGTGAAGCTCAGCGCTGACCACATGCATTGCAGTTCACCCACGATCAAAGACCCGATTTCAACTCTGAGGAATCTTTTAAGGAGGGAAGCAATGCTTTCTGGAGCATGAGCTGCCATTTTAAAGGAGCAGGGTTTTGTGATTGCCTGTCTAAGCTTCAGCCTATCCGGCTGGTCTATGATACCTCACTGGAAGTTTTCTTATCACAAACAAATGATTGCAGGGATTCTGCAGGTTCACAGAAGTATGAAGAAATGAAGACCCCAGAAACACACACACAAGTAGTGGATATTCGGTTTGTTACAGACTGCAGTAATAAATCAGGGCATTAACATGTGAGCACAAATGTTTAATTAGAAATTAGTTTCAGGGTTTTATGCCATGCATGTCTTGAGATGAAGCAAGCCATTGCTACACTTCTTACAAGGATCTGATTATTGTCTATGGGCATGGCTCTTTGTGTGGTGAAACGTTTGGTTCAGAAAAAATATTGCTATTTTTAATGCTAGACTTAGCATGTTGCTTTACTAAAAAGCAATAAAATACTTCCGGTTTCATCCTCTTCCGACTGCAGTCTTCTTCCCCTACAAACTGCCAGGCATGGTTCTTTCATCCTCACCTTGAACACTCTTTGAAGACTGTTTTGTAGTACTTCTGTAACTTTGTAAAGTTACCATTCCTGTTGGGTACAAACTTTGGACTTTTTTGGTGGTAGATTGTAACTAGAAGAGTGACCTAGGGACAGTTAATTATAACGAATTACAAAAGAGCTCCGTCGGCCACTGAGGCTAATTATCAGTTTGCAACTAAAACACAGTGCTCACATTATGTCCTTTTTTGGTTTAAGATGATACATGTTTGTGCTGTAATCATTAATGCCTACAAATGCAAAAGACAGGCCCTGTTTACTGAGTGAATTCTTGTATGAGTACTGAATTAGAGGAACTGTTTGCAATGCTAATATTTGAAGTAACATGCCCATTGATGAAGAGCAGAGCAGAATAGAATTGGAATGCATTTAAGCAGGAAGCTGATCTATAGTAGACGAATGTTTGGGGGGGTTGAGTGAATTTGTATGAACATACAAAGCTCTGGGATGCCTAATATTTTTACTGAGTGTCCTCCCTTTTTCCAAAAAGATTTGGTATGTCTGCCAGAATTTCCAGCGCTGGCAGAGCAAAGTTGGTTATGCAGAGTAATAGAGGATTGACTAATTAGAGTGAAACTAGGATGTTTGGGAGACATTTAGGAAACATGTGAATAGTACCTTTGTAATTAATGGAAATGTTTAAAAAATGCCAGGGCCTCATATAGAGAGTGATACAAGACAGAGGTAGCTTGTCCGAGAGATTAAATTCTTCACAAAGCCATAATTAAATAATACTTAATGTGCTTTTGAATTAGGGAAATTGTCTCTGTCATCATTGATGGTCTTTGTGATAGAGGAAGAATCACAGAAATCTGCTGTCAAGCTTTCTGAGTTACTGATGTTAATCTTTGTGGTTGGTTGTTGAGATTATTCGCAAACGCTTCCGCTATTTAATTACCTCAGATTCCTCAAGAGTTTTGTTACATGTTGTCCATTCTTTTGCATGAAATTGAAAATGTCTTTGACAAGAGTCACTTAAAAAGGAAGGAAGCAACCAATATGATTAGTTTCTCGGTTAATTGCCCTTCATTTTGGAAAATTTAGGGTTTGCTAAAACCACTGACCGCTGGCGAAGTTTGTAGAATAATTTTAGTTTTCCTATGTGTTTCATGGTTGGTAGAGGCAACTGCAGCATGCTGCATAAAGGACAGGAAAGAGGTGGTGAAAGGGCTTTTTGGAAGATGTGGAACATACGGAAAACATATTTCCCTAATTGATCTGAGAAGCAGTTCAATGTTTCAGAGTTTTCCTCAGATGATCTTGGATGTATACGCTCAGGTCTAAATTAATTGGTTGTCCTGTAAATTGCTGACTGTGCCCAATATTCTTGTTATCAGGTCTTGCATTGTACAGATTCCTGTCATATGAATGGTGCACATTGATGTGCAGATTGGCATGTTGTGGGGACAAGGGCATGTGTTTAAACTACCAGGTTTTTGGTTTAATGGAACCATTTCAGTGCCTTTTTTTCAGAAAATATTAGTAGTTTTGCTGTGATAATAGTATACATTGTCCAATGTCTTTGAATAATTGCCTTTCTAATCACATTATCATTGAGGTGCTAACTCACTCTTGAGATTTATCTGTGGCATGTTTGGATTTTTTGCTTCCCAGTAAAATCAGGATTGGTA